ATATGCCTTAACACAACATCTTTCTCTATCCCTCTTATTAGAGCCAGACCAGCACTGAGTTTCTGAAGCCAAATCCAATATCAATATTTTTGTTTTCAGACATCTGATAAAGATGCAATATATTGGCTTTTTTTTTTTTACATAGCAGATAATATAAACATTTTGATGAGGAAACCCCCAAAACACTATCTTTATATCACACATGGCTTTACATAATATCTATGATTTAACATATACTTTATCTGCTGTCTCTCTGGCCTTAACCTTAAGGTCTTTCAGTGGCCTGAAAATGCCCTAAAAACATTAATAACGCTTCAACTGCCTCAAGCTGAAACTGCAGGAAAAACATGACAAAATGAATTACTGTATATTGTCAATAACATTTTGTGACTTATTATGTTGTTTATAAAAACATTACAATTCAGTTGTATTTATTTTTTTGTGAACAGATTTGATGTTGCATATTAATAGTATATAAACATCTTGTCTTACTGTACTGTGAATTTAACTGAACTATAATGAACATTAAATGTAGGGGAAAAAAGGAGTGTGTGGTGTGGGAAGATTGTACTATGACATTTAATACATTTTTTTTAAATTAAAATGCTTAACTCATTTTGCTCCTCTCTATTTTTTCTATTATGTATGTCAACAGACAAGTCTAATCACTCCTTTTCAAATCATTTTGCACATTTCTGCCCTATGTTTTCTTATGTTTTATCAGCTGAAATATAATAAACTCTTATGATAGTATCAGCTCAGTCACTGTATCTATGGACAAGTCTCTTCCTCCTCCTTCCCTCTCCTCTTCCTCCTCCATCCATCTGAGACCTCTCCTGGTTGAGTTTGCGCGACATGTAGTGAAATCTGGGGCCTTGAAGTCTGGCTTTACTCGAGCTTCCTAATGAGCGGTGAAACGTGCCTTCCTCGGTTTGTTCACGGAACAAAACAACTACAGGGAATACGCTGCGGCTCAGGTCTGCTGGGAGAAATCAGAAAGACGGGGGGAAGGAAGGGAGGGAGGGAGGTAGGGTACGAGACAGGCGGCGAGGGATGGGAAGAAGAGTAGGAGGGAGGAACGAGGGAGGGGACGGGGACACGGGAAGCGATGACACATGAACCTGGTCTAGAGGGAGGAATCTTTGGGAAATAGAGAAGGATGGAGGAGGGTTGTGAGGGATGATATAGAGGGAGAAGGAGGGAGCAGGAAGGAAGGCGCTAACATCATCAACTATATTAGGTCTTATGTCCTACTTCCACCAAATTATAACTGTATTTCATATTCTTTGTTTTGGGCTTCTCTACACTTGCTCCTGTTTTTATCTGCTTTCCTTGCAGAGGGATTATTCTGTTTTCACCGTTACTCTGCCATGGCCATGTTTTGTCACTGTGGAAAAGAGCTGCAAGCTAAATGTCTGAAATGTAACACAGCCTTTATAAATGAAGCTGCAGTGCATTTCAAAATAAAGCTGTTTAACTCAAAAAAGGAGAAAGCGACGCAGTAAGCAGAAACATGCGAGGAGAGGAAAGAAAGCAGCGGTCGGGAAGGAGAGTGGAGAAAAGGATGGAGAGCAGTAAGCAGGAGCAAGGCAGTGAGGGAGGGCAGATTAGAGAGCATTTTACACTCTGAGCTCTTCATCCATCAACACAATCTGCAAAGCTTTGAAGAGAGAAGAGATGTGCAAGCTTTTCATCCAGAAATGTTTGCTCTGCACTGCACAGCACGCTGCGCTCTGTACTGTCTGTGTGTGTGTGTGTGTGTGTGTGTGCGGACATGCCTGTGTGCCTGCAGAATCAGCTCTGTCAGTCAAGCAAAGCAAGCGGCTCAGTTGAGCACCCCAAAACCAACCGACATCGCACAAAAATCACACAGACTGAAATGCATTTCTGCCTAACAAAAGGTGATGGGGTGTGGCAAACCAGACACGGCTGTAAAGTCTGCGGCAATATTTTGGACAACTCTGATAAGCAGCATTGCAACTCAGCGCTGCTGTTGGGCAGAGTGTCGGCACTGTGTCCTGATTTGCTTCCACTGCTGTGAGTGTCACACATCCGCAAATCCTTAAAACACCTGTCAGGCCGATCACAGCGTGAATGTCAGATTGTGGCGTCTGGAAAGTGGTCGACACAGACATCCCCTTATCTGACACTGGAAATGTGTGTGTGTGTGTGTGTGTGTGTTTTTCCCTCTTCTTTCCTCTTAGTATTTGTTTCAAATGCAGTTGCTGGAAACTGATCAACCGTTAGAGATGTTGCTCCCCTTAATATCTTATTGTGTTAGGCCATTGTGGGCAACACTGACAATCAGTCATTAGGCAGTAATGACTGACTGATATTATATAGTTTTCTGCATCAGTGTGATGAAGTACCTGGATTGTGCATGGCTTTAATTCATTATATTAATGAAAAATATGAATTCCTATCTGGTTATCTTCATGTTCTCAATTGAATTTCCAGAAAATGTCTTATATCATAATATATATGTATATCAATATTGTGATTTCACGAAAACAGTAGACCTGTGTCACATATACTGTGATAGAGGATTTTGTTCATATTGCCAACGCCTCTCCCTGTTTAACCTGTATCTTTCCAAATACAGCTCATAGAAGACTGGAACACTTGCTCCCCTTAACACGACTGTAGTTGAAATCAATAGGGGACTCCAGAGCTCAACTGGACTCAGTCAACTTCATGGACAAAACACACATTTTCTCTACACACAGCATTCCTGACATGCTTGTCCAGCGATGCTGCCATTTCCAAGACACCGAGCTCATCGCATCGCTTTCGAGTGCTGGAGAGGCCCAGGTGATGCAGTTTTCCACTTAACCTTGGCAGTAATACCCTGAAACTGCTTCAGTGTAGCAGTGTGTGAAACGTGTGTGAGTGTGTGTGCGTGTGTGTGTGTGTGACCACACTGTCTCATCCTGACAATTTCACAGCCTCTTTGGGTGTCCGATATCTAATTCTGCTCTCCTCGGCTTTCAAGGACCTTTCAGGCCAGTGTTACACCTCTCATGTACACACACACACACACACACACACACACACACACACACACACACACACACACACACACACACACACATACACACATACACACACCCACACTGAGACATTTGCACACCTCTGCTTGCACAGTGCTCACTGTCTCTCTTCTCCCTCTGTCTCTGTCAGGGTTGCCATGGAGGGAGGTTTTCTTTGCTGCCATGACAACGTGGGTTCTCTTTGGTCTCCCCTAACGACAGATGAATGGAGCAGACAGCGCCTGGGTGATGTAGATGTTGTTGGAACGGTAACTCTGTGATTCACACTCACAGCTGAAGTCACCTGTCCTAACCCCCGCTGGGGAAGTGCAGTGGTGGAAGAAGTTCTCAGCCTCTTTAATCAAGTAACAGTACCAATATAACAACGTACAAAATACTCCATTACAAGTAAAAGTCCTGTATAAATACTTTTTCTACAGTAAAAAGGCCCCCGTAGCTGTATAAATATATATATATTATTCTATGTGACATTCTTAGATTTTTGATGCTAATGCAACAGTGTGTACGCAGCATTTTACTGTTGTACTGCAGCTGGTTGAGGTGAAGCTGCTTTATCCACTTTAAGCTTGAACAAACCAGAAGTATGGCCAGAACCCAGAAAAACAAGACAAAACATACACACACAGATTGTTTCACCGAGTTGTAACAGATCTTTTTCAGTCTTTAACTGTCAGAACTGAGTAAATGCACTGGACAACACATGGAACGACCGGTCAGTAATGGATGGGGCTCTGGTGGTAGACCAAACCGCAATTACCCGCGAGGACGCCAGTTTTCGTGTGTTCTTGTACCGAAATGAACATGGATGACAACCAGCTGCTTGCACTGTTTATATGCAGTGACATTTGCGCTGATAAGTTTTGTTTACCAGTGCGTCTCCATTGTGCGACACACACACACACACACACACACAAAACAAATGAAAGCAACTGGACCTGGGGATTTAAGATTAGAATCTTGACATATCACACATGAAATGATTTTATCAGCCGACACTAATCACCAGCTGATCCAGACTGGAACAGACCCAGTCCAACTCAACAGTCATAATGTTTGTCTGCACCTTTAGATACAATCAGGTAGACTTGCTCAGTAGGATTTCAACCAAGGGCTCACACCCTTCTTAGGGGTCACCAGATAAATCTGAGAGGTGGTGATATGATTAATGGGAGAGGAAAGTAGAAAAACAAACTTCTGCACACATCTGTTTGCTTTTTTTTTCCCTTTGCTTTTTCGGTGAAATGCTGGATGATATGTGCCTCAAAAAGTTAATTACAAGAAACCATTTGAGAAGTTTGGAGGGAAAATCTGTCTTTGGTGGAACTGCTAACAACACAGAGACATCTGACATGTGGCAAAGGGCCCCAGAAAGATAAGATTTTGTAAGGGGTCCCAAGCCAAGAGCCTGGAAACCTTTTACCAATGTGTTGTATTTTATAAGTATTATAAGTTCAATACAGTACAAGTATATCAACATTTTACTTCAATACAGTTCTTGAGTAAATCTACTTAGTTACTTTCCATCACCGGAGAAGGGTGTGTGTGTGCTTGCAGGCATGATTATGCATATGTGTGAGAAACAGACGGAGCATGATGTTCAGGTCTGCATAAGATGTGGATATTAATACCAATTCTTCCATTTGTTCGTCTGCAGCTCTGCTCCCACCTCTACTTCCTGAGTATTTACATAGTGAACTGAATGAACTGCAGGTGTATTTCTAAACCAAACTGTCAGTCCAACCTGGTCACACTGACTTCAGTCTGGTAAGCCGAGCGAGGAAATGTCAGATGAATAAATATCCTGCTTCTAATCAAGAGCGATGATGACAAAAAATTAGCTCAGTACACATACAAAGATGTGCATCACAGATGATCATGATAATCAAGAACAGCATGTTTTTTTTTTGTTTTTTTTATTCATTACAAGTTCCCAGATTCCCTCATTCTTACCTTAAGTCTCTCAGACACCCCGTCAGTAAAGCTGATGGTGAACTCCTCCACCTTGGGAACCTTCAGCCTCTTCTTCTCTGTCTGGTACTCTGTGCGAGTTTTCACCACCACCTTGGAGGAGAGAGAAACCGTTGAAGCCGTTAAATACTGAGGGATGCTACAGGCAGTGATGGATGGACTGGTGCACTGGTGAAACAGTCAAGTCAAGTTAAAGACGGAGATAACAAGATGCAGAAGCACATAAATGATTGAGAACATTAAGCTCAAGACACTATGCTATGGTGCATGAACTCACACGTCTGAGGCCCAATCACAACCTTCGCTACATAATGTCATCTATATTTTCTCGCATCTTCCTCTAACTGAGACCTTTTACTATGTTATAACTGGAGGTATAGAACTGAAAGGACAAAGTTTCAGAGAACTCTGTGTGTCCTCTGAGGTTTTTAACAGTACCAAAGTATTACCTTGGAAATATAGCCATCATTAGTGCATAAGGTTTTATATTTACAGATATTCCTTTGTGTGCTGTTTAAATACAGAATAAAATGTGTTTATTGCTACCTCTAAAAATTGGATATGTACAGCCAAAAGGTTCCTGAGCCTGATAAGACACTAGAAGCGCATCAGGAGCTCAGACACCGTTCCACAGTATATATTCTAATAAAGCACAAGTGTCATAAAAAAGTAATTTTAAAAAGAAAGATTGAGACAAGTGCAGAGCTCAATACCCAGAGGTGTAAGTAGGGAGAGAGGGATGGATGAGAGCAGAGGTTGTTAACAGATACTGAATTTGGAAAAAATGAAAGAACACAGATAGCACACATATCATGCTACACAGTAATAGCAGTGAATTCATGGACTCCTATTATTATATTTTATTATATATATTATGATAGCACACCCAACACAGCCAGAGACCATCCAGCAGACGCTGGTGCCAGGCATCTGCTAGGGCTCCACTGTATGTTAATAAGGTCTGGTGCCCACAATCCAATACCCTCAGTCTGAGGGGAAAACACTGTGCTTCGGGCTGGCAGCTAGATGGGGAAAAAAAGAGTCATGGTAGTGCAGGCTTGCCCCAGTACTGTCAGTCTAACACTCCTCAAGCAAACAGGTTTAGAGCTGTGGTCAAAATACAGGAGTCTGGTGGAGAGGTACTCAGGGGAAAGAGACGGAGTGCAACTCTTAAACTAAACTCTTAGATTTGTCTACTTTTCAACTTTCCACTGTTTGAAAGGCACCGGTTCAGAAACAGTGGGTGGGGAGAGTGGGTGAGATTTCTGCATTAATTTAGAAACTATACTGCTGAGGTTCCCTTGAGCAAGGTGTCAACTCCTCTAAATGATAATGCCAGTTTTCGTTTTACAGTTGAGGCTAAACTGTACCTAACTGTAAATATGAGCTACTTTACTTCCATTTCATGCTACTTCATACTTCTATCCTGCTATAATTCAAAGACATTGACAAGACATACTTTTTACTCCATTACATTTATTTGATGGGTTTAGTTACTTACAGGTACTTGTTATCATTACTGATACACTATGGAAATAAGAGAAGTCTTAATAAAGCTGAATGATCTATACATAGATAGATACTATATGAAGTTATTATGTTTAATCACTAAAGCTCGTGAGATCGTACCTGTGTTGTCTCATCTGAATATGTTTTTAAAACCTCTTTGCTTGAAAAAAAACAAACTTTCCTCACATTCTGGTGCAGCTGATGTGTCTGCACATAAAATCTATATAAAACTGAAACTGCTCATAAATTCCTCCCTCATCACTTCTCAACCTCACTTCACCTGCGGAATACATTTTTTTTCATATCAATTTTTTTCCATATCTATACTGAACAATATCTCCTCATTAACTTGTGTTCTCTGCTTCAGCGTTTCCTCTTTTGTGTTAATGACTTAAATGGCCGAAAAGAACAGCGTTAACCAGGTTTCACCTCAGCACTTTACTTACTGAAAGGAGAAAGTGTCCCTGAAGTTTTGTGCATTCACTGTATATTAATGCCGCACCGGGGGATGTGACAGACACAGAGAGAGGTGTGCAAACGACAAGGCAGAGGAGAGGTGAATGGAGAGAAAGAGAACAATGTCTCAGTGTCCTTGTGGCTAATTGCGCTGCTTCTGAGCAGCTCTCCGTCACTTTGAGACAAAGCCAGAAACTGCTGTGCACACAAACTGGCTCCACTATCTGAATAACAAAGCTGTCAGTTGGCCCCTAGAAGGAGTTGAAGGCCGCAGTAGGTGTACTGAATACAGGGCATTTGATTGGACCCCTGAGGCTCCTGAGCCTCTAGGCTTTTCGGCGCAGCAACACCATACGTCAGTCTTGTCATACGTCTCATAACTAATGTCTCAATTTTGCCTCAACTTTCTCATTCTCTGAATCATTTCACAGTAACGTGTTCACAGCCTCTAGGTTCAAACACTCCAGCGCTTCACTTTGCTTCATTACTCTACCTCTCGCTCCTTTATTTCATATTAACTAATGAAGTGGCTATCAATCAACGCTGCCTCATTTACACAGCCCGTTAGCTATGAGCAGAATCTAGTGAACACAGTGCCTCCTTCTCTGATTAGACAGGTCCAAATACTCTCTGGTAAATCATCAATTCATGAACAATAAAATCTAGTTTGACAAAGCTTGATGTAAAAAAAAATATTAAATGATGCAGCCATGAACAGTTATGACAGGATGAACGAAGATATAATTACAACTTGCTTACTTATTACTCCATAGAGGTAGCGTCTCATTTTTCATTTGTAATTTCTCCTAAGGATCTATTAGTGTGTAATGTGCAGTTTAGTTTTCAGCAAAAGTAGCCTTGTGGCTTTGTGACATGACATGTTGTGCAGGCATTCGTGGTCCGCAGAGGATAAACCTTAATGACTTTAGGTACCAATAAAATACCTAATGTTTGCTGCTTATACTTACAATCATTCTCTGGATGACCAGGGTGAAACTATGGAGTGAAACTAATTGGAATGAATATGATTTATGTAGGCAAATAAACAAACAAAACCTCGCTCATACTATCATGCTGAAATGTTTACTACAATTTCACAAAGATTTTATTTGTTGCTTTTCCTATCCTTACCTTATCTATTTGAGGGTTGGCATCCAACAAGTCCTCCCACCTGAACAACCATAGAGGTCGTTTTTTTCTATCCATAGGAGTGTCTCCTGGGTTGGTTACAATAATAAACACATGGACTGTACCCACAGCGGCATACCTGCCTTCATCGCCATGGTTACAAGAATAGGCTTGGATAGATTTAGGCACTTAAGCTACTTGGTTAGGATTAGGAGAAGATGGTTATTCAGGTTAAAATAAGTACTTCCTCAACATTAGAAGATCTTTGTTGTCATGGTTACAATAATAACAACAACGTGGTTAACTTTTTCGAACGGTCGTGGATAATAGAAACAGCAGAAAACTGCTGGTTTCACATGGAAATCGAACACCACTCTCCTTTGTCATATTCCTGTGCTTTGTTGACCCATCTATCCACCACAGCCTCCTCCTGATGTGGACTTTGTTTCTCCTCATACTGCGTCACCGCACTTTTCCCTGCTCCTGTCATAATTAGTAGTGTCTCGGGCATGCCAGAAAAAGTTTGAGAACCACTGCTCTACTCCATAAATGACTGACAAATCCCTATTATTCCAAGATTCTTCAAGCTTACTAACCCAAAGCTACTACTGATGAGTGCCCCTGTTGTCACGTTTTGAGATTTTCCCAAAGCTCCTTCATTAACTAACTGCACTTGGGCAGTTTTGGCAGCATTTACTAAATGTGAAATACATTTTCTCCTGTCCTCTAAAAAGTCCAGTTTTTACTCCCTCATTCATGGCCTTTTTTTTTTTTTTTTTTTTAACCATACCTACATTTAAGCACTAGTGGGAACCATTAAGTATTGTATTGGTAACTAACCATATGTTTGCTGATCGGCTGACGCATTGCAGCCACACGCAGATGGTAGCATGGCTTTAGCCCTGCTATAACTTCTTCACTTAATGTGACCTTTAAATGTGTTAACAAGACTAACCGACAGTTTCTACATCAGTAACAGGCGGGTAAATGATTCCAGCACATACAGACGCACAGACTCAGACCGCTGCAATTCCCTGTGAGAATCTATTTACAAATGTTCAATTAGCCACGTTTATTTTACGCCCATGTTTTGATCCACTGTGACCTTTTTTAATAACTCCATGATTGACACAGTGTCACTTTTAGATCTGTAATGAAGCTGCGGCCACAAAATGCCATGCTTGATGTTTCTGAAGTCAACAAGATCTGTATGTTTTTAAGAGCAGCACTTTAGAGCTTTTTTTAAGTTTTCAAATGAATGAGTAACAAATAAAAGAGTACATTTCAGAAAAGATGGTTTTAGCTTGTCAAACTCAGCCAGCCACTTCTTCTTTGTGTCTCTCAATCTTTTTTTTCTTCTCCAATCATAGTATTTTTTTGGATTTGATATTCCCTGTGGAAAAGCTGTCAGAACTTTTCTTCCCTCCCCGTCTGCACCACTATGTTATTCCTCAAACCTGTTATCACTATGATTTCTGTTTCATCTTTCATCCCCAAAGACTGAGCTGCGGGAGAGTCGGTCTTTGGTGAATTTTCGGTGTGTGCAGACATTTCTCTTGACGTGCAGTGTTTCCTCGTGAATAGAAAAGTGAATGAGATCCATTTAAGAAGCAAAGGAGGTCCATCCTTGCAGTTGTACTGGTACAACATGAGTTCTAACAGGGTAAAGTCAAAGGTGATAAATGTTTAATGAGCTCCTCTTTTAGTGTTTAGATATATATGGTTGATTTGAATTAGACAGCCCGGCAGATACAAAGCTCAAATGTGTGAAATGATTCCTAAATAAGAATCCTGTGGTTATATGTATCTGGTTAGAAACAATTTCCAAAAACACTTTTCTTATAAAATAAAACCATTTCAGAGGATGTAATAATAAACAATAAGCCGCGTGCACACTTCATTGAGCATTATATCTTTGTATTTTTAAACCTGCAGTAATGTTTTTATGGCCTCTTGGGGGAAGCGAAAATAAACTGTGAACTTAACACTGGCATTTTATG